ATATATATAGTGTTGGTTAGTATGCAGTTATAGTTCATTCGCTCACTATACATGCAAAGCAATATTTTTGCCACCTATTTTCTCCCCTCCGATCTAAAGCAAAAAAAAAAAAAGTTTTTAAAATTGACAGAATATGAAAAAAACGAGAACAAACGATAGTTCCTCCTAAAGATTTTATTTGCATGGCTAAGACGCAAGGCGTAATCTGTTCTCACAATGCAGTCATTCAGGAAATAAATATTAAGACCTGAAATCCTACATCTGTGCAGATTATCAAAACAACGGACGCGACTGTGGCTTCATTTTAAAAAACTCAATATTTACAATATGCTAATGATCTCTAGAGAGTCACAACTGGATCTAACCTTCAGCAAGTCTGAGCTCGAAGATTCTTTCCCATATCTCCCACGGAGATACAGCTCTAAATATGGTCAAATTTTGCGACCGAAAATTGGAGATCGTATTGTGGATCCTACCCTTTTGGGAAAAGTTAAAAATCGAAGTACCTAATACATCAATATGGGGTGCAACCCCTACTTTTGATACAACATCTCTGGGTTGACAACTTGCTAGCGGTTCATCCCATGCGTAGGTACAGTTGTGGTGGCGGTGGTGGCGGCGGTGGGGGCGGTTGGTGTAGGTGGCGGTTTGTGGGGACGGTGGGGGCAGCGCGACGGTGCGCTGGTGCGAGCCCACAGCGCGACGGACGTCCGGAGTATTTATTAACCCGGCGAGAGGCTGGCAACGAGAGCCTATCACTCGGTTCTGCCACAAACAACACCGTCGCGCGCCCAGCGCCGCCATCGTCGTCGCCGTCGCAAGATTAATGGCGGTGCGGACTTAAGGCGCGCATCGACGGGCGCGGAGCCGCCTGCGCGGCCAGAATCGCGGGTGCGGTCGTCGCAGCCGCCGCCGCCGCACTGTCCTCCGGCCGCGCCGCGCAGCGCCGCCGCCGCGCCGACTGTTTTGTCCGCTGTGCGGCGCCAACTTCTTCGACGCAACTCGCAACCGTAGATAACTTGCACGAGCTGCGTGGCTCAATGAAGAAAGAGACGCCGGAAGACGCTTTAATCGAAGCTTACGCTCAACAGCGTAGCAAGTAGCAGTTGTAAATTGTATGGTAACGACGATAGCTTGTGAGAAGAGCGGACGACTATATATTTTTTTTTTATACAGCTGCTCACGTGAACTTTTATTGAATAGTTCTGTCTTGTGTAATCTTGTTTTATTTAATTTTTCGAAATGGATGTACAATGCCAGAGCTTAATTTTTTAATAGGGCTAACAATTTATTTTATGAATACATAAATACGTACGAAGTCGAGCGTTGCACGTCATTCATTGTAATCATTAGTATTGCAAACAATATAAACTGCGAATTTGGAGTCGCTGAGTAATCGTTTGCTACTGCGTACTCTTTGAATAGTGGCAAGAAGAGAGTATAACTTTGTTGGAGAGCTTTTAACTCTTCGGAAAGTGCCTGATGAACGAGTTTGTCTTCCTTTACTGAGTTGTAGGAACTTCATCCAGTGAAGCGCCTGTGCATAATTATTGCTGCGAGCACCTTCGCATGTGCACAATTATGGGAGACATTATGAATGAGGTCGAGCTGAAACAAGGTGAAAGCCTCGTAAGCGAAGCCTACTCGCTGAAAGGGCACTACTGTCGAGATGATATATTCATGTCCAGTTCCACTCTTGCGAGTTCTCTAAGCAGCTCGCACAGTAGGGCGCCGGTTCCCAAGCCGAGGATTCGAGCGATGGCAAGTGTCCGCGCGCTTCTCAGCAGAATCGCTTTCTGGGAAGCTTCCTGGCGTCCCGGTCGATGGGGGGGCGCGCGTCGCTGATACAGCGCAGCCGATGTTTGGCCTGATCTGAAGTGCAGTCCTTTTCCTTCTATGTCTTGCAAACCGTTTCGCAAACGGGTGTAATTCTCGCAGTATTAACTGTATTACTTTGCTTCAAAGGAAGTTATTTATTATGTAACACTCTCTCCAACTTTTCGCCAAATGTTTGAGTCTATTTCGTTTTAATTAATAGAAAATGATCGAATGAACCTTTGTGGTGTTGATAAGGATCTTGAAATTTGAAGGTTTTAAGGTATGTCGGGAGAAATAGTAACTTTTCAAGGGACGGACCATTTGGCTCTTAATCAACATCTGTAGAAAAAAAAGTCATGACTGTTTTAAGCAAGCAGAAGGGAAATGGATATAACTGTAAAATTTAAGCACTTTGGGGTCAAAAAGGAAGCAACATACATCGAGTAAATAGTGCGGCAAAAATCTAGAAAAATTGTTTAAATCGTAAACCATGTTGGAACCTCCCTTGCCGTCATTTCATTGTTGAAGCTTAATTTTTGCGAGGTAATTTCGCAAAATTCCTTCGTAACTCCTGACAGGTGCAACCTTTGATCAGATAATGAGCTTTTAAACGATTTCAGACACACCTGGTCAACAGTCGACGAAGATATTTAATATACTGGAAGCAAATGAAGTTCGGTGATATTAGTTAATCCTATTGTGGGATTTCTTGAGCCCGACGTTGTGTACAGAGCTACTTTGATAATCCTTCTGATAATCTTTTCTCGCTGGCATTAAAATGCCACGGATTCGTTTTTCTTATGTCAGGAGCTATAGCCATGCTAAAAGGATGAAGAAGGCTATATACATTAAAACTGTAACCAGCCTCGAACGTATCTCGAGCAAACAATAATATTATTGCAAAGAATTCTTCTTTACAAGCCACTGAATGACCTTAAAAGAGGTCATTCGACAATAAGGAATCCGCGTCATCAGAAAATAAGGAAGGGAACCATATTATGAATTCCTTGTTCATGTGTTAATGTGAATAAATGATGCGGGTTCTTTTTGGGTCTAAATCAGTGAAGGCGGCTGGAAGAATTTCCAACATCTCTGATGTGGCTCAGCCTTTTTGATAGTGTCCTAATGTAAGGGTAAGAAAAGAGGCACGTTATCTGGGAACAGACGAAGATGAGAAGAAAAATAACATCGAAGAAAGTATATTCCTGCTAAAATTTCTTACTGTTCGACAAAGTCAGTTTTCGTCTTTGTAATTCCTGGAACAAAGTCTCCTTCATAGATATTTTTCTATCACCGTAAAGAATGCCTCCTGTGAAAGATCGTATCCATGAGGAAGAAGGATCCTGTTTTCAAAAAAGGAATTTCAAAATTTGAGGCAACAGTGTTGTAAATGACGGTGAGGGAAGGAATATTCATTCAAGATTATAATAACGTCCTTGCAAAGATGAAAGCAACAAAAAATTTGTTTTTAGAAATGGTAGCCGAAATATCGTAAAATACCCAAATGCTATTAAATTCTCTCTAGGAGAAAATATGTTCGATGTATGTCTTCGTTCAAATGTGTTTTTGGATTCTATAGAAATGATGTAGATTCTCTGTGTGCTTTTGTATATGACGCGTGCACTCTTAAAAAACTGATATTTCTGTTAATTTTTTAATGTCATTTACGAATATTTGAAGAATTTTAAGTAGCTTGATAATAATATTTTTTTAACATATCTGTTGGAGACAATAAAATTTACAAATATATTTAGAGAAGATAAGAAGAATGGTCTTGGTGATTTTGATGGTGGTTTTACTGTCTTTTGTCATTTGAAGTGAGATTGGAACGTACAAGTACTAGACTTCGCATTAATACTGAATTGTTTTAATTCTATTTATACATTTAGAGTTGTTTAATTAGAACAATTTGATGAATGCCACTATTGTCAGAAGAACGGAAAAAGGTACACATAAATGAAAATCTGCCTGACATTTTTTATTAATAAGATCGGTGGAAATCTTTTTAAGAATCTCGATCACGTCGAATGTAAACAATATTCCTGTGCTACTTTGCATTGTAAGCGTCGCCCGCCGTGGCCTAAGTAGGCTAGTAATCCATCAAGCGCCGGAAGGCAGAACAGAGATAAGTGCACGCCATCGTTTGAGGCGAAGGTCAGATTCACCGGATTACCTCCGAAAATCTCCCGCAACCTCTCA